GGAACCACACACAAGTCGTGCAAGGTTGCGATTTCCGGGATTAAGATAGCCATAGCGGCGGCCGGATATCCCGAGAAGAACTTTTCTCCTCAGCAGGGAGAACTCATAAAGAGGCACCTGCTTGGGAAAATCGACGAGCTGCAGCGAGGGATGACTACCAGACCAGGTCATGCGTCTACCCCCCTCAAGATTCTTCTGTAATTCATTGAATACACAGGCATAATGAGGGAGTAAAATACGATGGAACAATAGGGCAGAAATGGCCGCGGTGCAAAGCCAAACACCACCTCGTAGGTGAGGAAAGGGTTCTAGTGGGTAAACAGCTAGGCTGGAGTACCACACAGCGCAGAGCGCCAGATCATCAGCTCGGTGTGTGCGTAAGAGATCATTTTCCAAAGCTCACCAAAAAAAGAAAAAAACCGTCAACATCCAGTGTGCGATTATTATTCTCAATGAGTTTCTGTTTCAGTTCTTGTTCATATTTTTATTGTTCTCCTGGATTTTGTAGTTTTTCGGTTTTTCGATGTTTTGATTTAGAGTTTGGCTTTTACCAGAAAATGATCTGTATCTCCGTCTACTCCTGTAAGATTCTTAAATCCAGGCCAATGCTCCCATGCCTGGCGTCTACCACAACATGGTCAATTTGGTTACGCGTCACATGGCCGTTGGATACCCAGGTTTGTTTATGAGGGAGTATTGTGAATTTTATCAGCATGTTAGATGATGCTTATTATATTAGTCTTTGTCCGTCGCAATTGGATATATTGTGAAGACTATGTTGACCTATTGCCGGCACTAAATTGTTTCTTTGTCTATTTTTGGTTGGGCATAGTCCTATTATATCCTGTTTGGGCAGGATTTCTACTGTTCTTTCCAGCAAGTCGTAGAAAGGGTCCTTAGTGACTTCGTCCATGTCTTCTGCAGGAACATATACTGATAATAAGGATATGTGATACCAATATGTCTTTATTCGGATGTAGCAGAGTATATCACTTAAGTTCAAAGCGCAGAACACTGTTATTAGCTGCTCTTTTATGATGAAACCAGTTCCATACTCATGTCGCCCACTCTGATTTCCACTGAAAAATACCACAGATTTACTCATTCTTAGGTTCCTTACTTGGTTGTTTTTATTAAGTGTCAATTATATTCCATTCTCCAATTTATTAAAATATCAAACCAAGCATATCACTTACTAATCGGACTATTTAAAACAGTATCGTGTTTTCGGATAGTTTGAGTGCTTACGTTCGAAATCGAAAATAATAAAGTACCACCTATAATGCACCTAAGTAATCAGTTGAAGAACTTGATAAGATATTTGAAGGAGAAGTAAATAAAATACGTGTAGTGCCATTATATAAATAGGTAGACACTCCAACTGGACCTTTAGACGTGTATGAATATTCTTAGCTAAAGAAGGTGGGTTTGAAAGCATATCTTAATTAAATTTATTGGTGTTATTTGGTTAACTGTGTCTTAGGTTGTTACAGATTTCCACCATGAAGTTCATTTGTGCCTTGGCCATTTTATTGGCTGTGGCCGCGATGGCTCAAGGAGGCGAATACACTGAGCGTTTCTTGACGCTTTACAACACCATTATAGATTCTAATAGCGGCTACTTTTCTAAGGAAGGAATTCCTTATCACAGCGTTGAGACTCTGATGATTGAGAGTGTTGACTATGGTCACGAAACTGATTCTGAAGCTCAAAGGTACTTTATTTTTATAAGTCCATATGGAAACCAATAACCTATTGTATATATCAGTAGATTTTCAGTTGCTAATTGATTTAAACTTATCGCGAGAGCATTTAGTGGGTGATATGGCAGTTGCGCTGAGTAATACGATATGAAAGATTGATACGTTTGAAGAGATTTTTGGAATTTTTAAGACATCTTACCTACAAATATCCAAATTACCTCTAATTAAGTTTAGTGCAAACAAAACATGAAAGAAGATAAAATAAGTTTTTGGTCAATAATGCCCACTTTTATCGCTTTCGCCACATTAATTACTATCGGTTTAGTTGATTTTGAATAAAGGCTTATTTTAATCGCAATTGTTTTAATTTGCTTTATTTTACGCTACTTACCACTTATTACTAGTTTTAGGGTTTTTAAACTTAGCTTAGTTCTAAACATCGAATTGCAGAACGTGTGAAAATATGGAAAAAATAGCTCCGAAGCTCTTATATGAAATTATACAGTTTTCCTTAAACGGTCATAAAGGGGTTGAAACATTAGTTGGACCACAGAAAATATTAAAAACGTATTAGCAGATTATTTTCTTACGATTATAAATGCAAAAAAAGTATATATAAGCTAAATGTTAAAACTCGACAAACCGATAGCTTTGGTCATAAATTTAAGAACTATGTATCAGTTAATTAGTTGGAAATGTGGCTTCTATTTTTCATGCGATTCTTGTCGTTAATGTAATCTTTCATACTTCTTATAATTTTTTTTCATCACGTAAACGTATCAGATATGCAAAACTGTAAGGCCAATTCATGTATTTACTAGTAACAAATTCTTCCTTAATTAATCAGTACATTTAACTGTTAAAACTTATTAAACATTCTCCTACGTAAGCACGTACACGCACTTTTTAGGTGTTAATCAAAGCATATTTTTTTAGGAAAACTGTGAACATAAGTGTTTGTAATTTGTAATTATTAACTCTTTCTCGATGTCATTTTTTTGAAGCGAAATTATCAAATATAAATATTGCGACTATAAATTAATCTCTGTCATAGACAATTTTTTGTTTTAGTTACAATCTTTGGCTGAAAGCTATGTATGGAGCCATATCTGGTGACTTTTCGCATTTCAACCAAGCCTGGGACGTTCTTGACGGTTACTACGTTCCAGAAGTCCAATACAACAACGAAAAGTAATTAATATTACTTTGAATAGCATTCATTTTTTTTTATATTGCAAATGTGTTTTAGATACAACCCAGAAGCTGGTGGTGAGAGTAACGGTGTTACTGTTGGCATCGATCCTCTTGGTGCTGAATTAACTTCATCTTATGGAGACAGTAGACTGCGAGTTATGCATTGGCTTTTGGATGTAGACAATGTTTATGGATTTGGAAATGTGCAAGTAATTATTTTAGTTTTGGGTGATCTGGCTAGATTAATTATCCGACCTCTGCTTCTAGGGTAAATGCGAAGAAGGTCCGTCGGAACCTGGGCCCTCCTTTGTTAATAACGGGCCCGGGTCACTTTGGCAAGGAATCACCTATCCTACTTGCGACACGTTCAAATATGGTGGAGATGTTGGCTTTTCGGTAAGAATCTTTAATTTCAAAGCTGCCTAATGCAATGAGCAACAATTTTAGTGGTATGCTTCTGTTCCCAATTGGGGATACAGTGCAGCTCCGGACGCTGATGCTCGATCTATTTTAGCAGCCTTCTGGGCCTCACAGTGGGCAACGGAACAAGGAAAACTTGGCGATATTTCCGAAACTTTGTCCAAAGCCTCAGAGTTGGGAGACTATCTGAGATATACACTTTTTGACAAGCATTTCAAGCAGGTATTGATGGAGGGTTGCACACATTGTCTCCTGTTATACAACATTGCTGTTCCTTCTAGGTAGGAAACTGTATCGGCAAAACTGCCTGTCCTGGTGGAGAAGGCAAAAGTAGCGCCCATTACTTGATTTCCTGGTATATTGGATGGGGAGGATCGATTGACTCTTCTGGAGCATATTCCTGGCGAAAGGCCAGTTCAGAGGGACATATTGGATACCAAAATCCCATGGCTGCTTACGCGCTTGTCAACGACCCTAACTTAAGGTAAATATTATTTTCTACGCAAACAGTTTTTTAGACATTATTGTTTAGGCCAAAAAGTGCATCTGCTGTAGAAGACTGGCAAAATTCTCTGGAAAGACAACTTGAACTGTACAAATGGGTTCAGACCAGTGAAGGTCCTCTAGGTGGTGGCGTAACTAACTCCTGGAACAATGCTTATGATGAGCCTCCAGCTGA